AATCCTTTCCATTAACAGCATGTGGGGGGCACACTGCTCATCTGGATTACAGACTAGTGTCTCTGTCGAGTCATTAATCACTGCTAGTTTATGCTGTCAGGTACCTACATTTTATTTAATCTGCACGAGGAACAACACAACACTTTGAGTTCACTTTGAAAAAAGAAGATTTAAAGAATTCTGACTAGGCTTAAGAAACAGGTTGAATTTAGAAAATGTTTGTACTCTTAATCTATTAAATTGTGACTGAGGTTTGATATTTTCACTTTTCATATCTGCCACAGAAGCAAATTATGTCCTCGCCCTTCTCAAGGGGTGACCACAGATCAAAACACACCTGGAAGTGGCACTTCCAGCAGATTCACAGCAAGGGGGTGGCAAATTCAAAAGGAGAAAAAGGTGGACAAAAAAGGTATTTTTAGCCTTCCTTTTCTATGAAAAATAGACCTATTATCTTGTATCCCCCTCTCCACCCAAACTGTTAAAAGCCCCTTTTGTCCTACTTGCAAAGGAGGTTTGAAACAATAGCCAACTTCATGGTAGCAGAAGTGCATTAATATCTATGGGAAAGACAGGGAGTGAAGTGGGACTGCCACTAGCTCCAAGACACAGCACAGGATTAATATGCTGCTGGGCTGCATCCTTCGGGACGTGGTAAGGTTCCTAATCAAACTGTCTGTGCCCTCCCTGCCTTCTTTGAAACAAACACCTCCTTTGGAAGAAGGAGGGAAAGGTCTCATGTCCTGTTTTCATCAGGAAATGTTTTATTAAATAGGTATAGTAAGAACACTTCTTAACTTCCATGGTCTTAGTAAACGTTCAGTGACAGTATTCTGGGTAGCTGACAGGTAATTCGCATCTTCAGTCATCATCGTCTGCTGCTCGTGATGGAAAGTGATTGCTTTCATACAAGGTGTTTTCTTATTTATCGAAGTCATCCAGACCACAGAAGCTTTACTACTGTCCTGAGTATCCAAAATTCAGGTGCAGCTCTCCAGGCCTCACTGGGAGATGATGAACACTGGTGATTATTGTCTCCTCCACTCAGCAGTGGAGAAGGTGGCTACCTATACACCGTGGCAGCTCCTCAGCACATAAAGGGCTTTGGCCAGACTCACACTGCACATACCCAGCATGAGTACCCACCAAACATATCAGGGACCTGCATCAAGCAGCCCTCTGGATTTTACAGCCACTCTGAATTTGTCATTGTTCCCATGAACATCAGTGCAACAGAGGGTACCTTGTCTCTCTCAAGCCCCACAGTAGCTAGCATGAATATGGCATTTGGTCCTAGGAGAAACCCAGGATCATCAAATTGGGACTGACATCAAACTTAGACTGAAATGTCTGACCAAACAGAAAGCGATGAAAGGTGCACAGTGGATTTAGATTCTCCTTTTCACATGAGACAGAGAGATCTTGGCTTTCTCTTTCAGCTGACACTCACCGTAGGCAAACACAGGCATTAACTGTCTTTAGTGGCAGAAATAATACACTGCTTGAAAACCACAGCAGGAAATTCTGGCTTTTTTCATGTCAGTATCAAAATGTCCATGGAGTCATAAAAACATGCTAGGCTAACTTCTACAGCAAAATGTAATGGCAAGGTGAGGTGCATGCACCTTGCAGAGATTAGAGGACGGAGAAACGTTTTTATGGCAAATGCAAGTGCCTTTAGAGAGCAGCAGCCTCTCACAGGCACATTCCTTATAGAGCTCTGGTAATGTTGTTGTCTGTGGTAGTTACTGCTCTAACAGGCACTTAAGAAAGCCATTAAAAGAGAGGAGAGAGAGGGAAATACTACACTGCCTTTTAAGTAATAGTTTACCTAAACATACCTAGCTAGGGAAACTAAGATAGTAACTTCCATGACCTAAAAAAGAAGAGGCTAAAATACATGTTTGCAGGAGTTCTTGACCATCTTAAAAAACACACACACACACACTTCTGACATGTAATTTAACCTGTTGGACCTTGAGGCACTATTTTTTTTTCTTTGAAGTCTGCACAATACAGCAGCAAGAGTAACCAGATCCAGCTTGCCTACCAAGGGCAGTTCAGACCTAAAGATAGGAGAGAAACCATCAGCTTTTACCTTTCCCCAAAAGGGTATATTACAAAACAACTCCACATCATATTGGAGATACTTTAAACTCGGAAATCACAATATCAGGGAATTACCTAAAATTCAGATCAGCTTTTCAGCTACTGCAGCGGCATCATTCCTTAGCAGGAAAGTGCCAAGCAAAGGATAAATGCTGCAATAACTGTCTGGGTCCAGGTGTATTCGGTCATCAGCTTGGAGAAGTGTCTCTCCTGCTCCGCCTCAAAGTACACAACAGCACATGTATGGAAGACACATAGGAAGGAGAAAGAGCATTTGTGTGTCCTGATAACTACCTGACACCTCCCAAAAACAGGTTTGTTAAAAATCACTGGTGTTTTTTTGTGTCCCAGTCAGTGCTATTTTATCATTGCTGAACTTGCAGTGGCCTTTAGCACTTATGATTCATTAATGAATTCGTTCTACCTTCCTTCTCAGGGAATTTTAACACTGTTTAGGCTAATATTCAATATCCTGGGATTTCTTGAAGCTCTGCAATGCAGATCAGGTTCTAACTGTCAGGGCATTCATGAGGAGAAAGTTGTCAGGCATTTGCTAAAGACTTCCTCTGCTCTGACCCATTCACCTAGGGTGACCTCCTGCTCCTGGGACCTTCAAATTCCAGGCCGTAAGTGGGTGTTTTCTTTCAATCAATTTGTCATCCAGATCAGTGGGGGTTTTTTTGGTGCTCTTTGATTTGTTTTTAGCCTCTGTGTGGGCATGTGTGCCTATTCTTCCTTGTACTTTACAGGATTTTTTTCAGGAAGAATAGGAAGAATGCTTGTGCACAGGCAACAGGTTTAAACACAGACTTAGTAAGTGGAAATGTTCCAAACCAGGGTATTTTTATCCCTGAAGCCTGAGCTGCTGCCTGGCTATTCAAGTGGAGCAATGACGATGCGGGGCTCATCCCGGCAAGGCAACCTCCTACTGCCAGCTCAGTCCAGCACTGGGTCCCACCTGGGCCAGGCCTTTACGGAGCAAAGAAGCCCTCAGACCAGTGTTGTGCCTTTCCCAAGCCTAACACACCGGCTTTCCTCTGGGCTCACAGGAAACAGCTTTGCAGGCTGAGTCCCTCGTCAAAACACAGCCACAGTTCTGCCTGCATTTAATACCCGCCTATGCAACACTGGATATTTTCACTTTTCATCTCTCAGCACCAAAGCGATGAAATTATCTCTGTACCCTTCACAGGGAGAGACCACAGACCAAACCCCCTGGCAGAGTCACAGCGTGTGGGTGCTGGTGCCCATATCCCCAGTATCCACTCCCTTTCTTTGGAATAGTCCAATGATCAAAGCACTGTCCTGGGTTGGGGAATTCAGAGTCCAGCTCCCCCATTTCTCTTTGCCCAGGAAGCAGGGCAGTAACCAAGGCATTGCTCTAGCAGCGATGTGCACCACTTTGCCACACCAGCTCAGGGCCTGGCAGAGACAAGGGCAGAGACTCTGCCTCAGGTCTGTTTAGAAAACAAAAATTCTCCTGTGCATTCCTAAAACAAGAACTTGAATGAGTGATGCATTTTCACAGCAGTAGAACCAGTTTCAACACCATTGCTGCAATGCTGGCAGCAGGGAGAGAAATGCTCGCCACGACCCCCAGCCTCCACGTTCCCGAGGGAGCTGGACCCACAGCTCAGGTGTCCCACAGCAGCAACCACATTTGTGCCATTCCCTGCATTTACCAAGGGCCAGGGGCAGGGGTTGGAGAGGAAATGGTGTCATCCTTCGTGTTCCCTTGTCTACAAAACCCTCCTGTGCTTAATTAAGAGCATGGAGGATCTAACTCCAACATTTTATATAACAATTCTGCTCCCAGTGCACAATGCCTAACATCTTCTTTGCTGATAATTGGCTCAAAGTGGCAACCGGTCAATATTTTTAAGATAATGAGCCTCCTATTCATGTTCCAGCCATATAAACTTGCAGATAGGGAAGCATGCTGTAGCCATCACCCATCAGTTTCTCTCTGGATACACTATGATATTTGCTGGTGGCCCTGTCTCCCACAACAAAGGAATTCTATCAGGTGATGGAGATTTTAATCAAGTATCTTTCGAAGTCTGGCTGGGTACCAAATCTTTGAATGAAAGAAGCTATTTAAATATCTGTTGTCAAGATGATGAGAATGATTACGGTTATTTTAGCCATCTTAGTTATACTAAGTAATAGTATTTTTAAAGATATTGAAAACCCTCCACAGTACTCAATTGGAGACTCTAAATATTGCTTATTAGTACAGCTGTTCCAAACGATTTCCTCCAAGTATTTTTGCAACAGAAAATGGTTGTTACTCTGTAGGATTTTAAAGCAAAATACAGCTAATGTTAAAGTTGAACAGTTCTGAAGTTTGCCATGAAAAAGTGCAAATATAAAACTTTTTTTTTGCCATAATTTGTTAGGATTTTGGTTTCATTTTAATTTTGCAAGAAAAATTTAAAAGAGAAGAAAAATATCTAGGTCTCCCCAAAAACCTATTTACCTTTTTCATTACCCCTCCTTACCTTCTTATTAGCCTATGGCAGATATATTATCTCTCCTTGACTCCTTACTAATCTGGGACAGATACATAAACGGATGTCTTAGAAAAACAGCCTTTAAAATTTGGGCACTTGGTGTTCAAATTTCAATCTATATAATCTAGTAATATATGTCAAGATGTGTCTTTTAGTAGCATCAGCTTTCATCTGGATGTGCAGCTGCTAACAACAGGAAGAGCAGTTCTGATAGCACCTATAAGATAAATCCAAAATTTTGGAGAAGGCCAGATAATTTAGTGTCTCAATACCTCATATTTGCCCTTCAGCTACTGTTGATAAGGAACAAAACTGAAAAAAAAATAAAGCAAATTATTTACTATCACAGTATTATTATCTATGTTCTTCTATTCATACCTGTCCAGTGAAATGCAGCACAGATGAAGTATTGATGCTGTTGTGAGCAAAACATCTAGGGATGTTCGGACCAGGCAGAACATCTCCCCATAGATCCAGTTGTCCTGAACCAACTCAATGGCTCCAAATGGCATCACCAGTACTGATACTAGCAGGTCCGCAAAGGCAAGTGAAACAATGAAATAATTCGTCTTGATTTTCCTGCAAGACAGATAACAAAATTATGGTGGAACAGTTTCAAAACAGTTTATACGTGGCCAGAGATTTTCACCTGTGTTTGTGTCTAATTCATTCTATCACATTACAAAGTCCTCTGTAATGTACTTTTCACTTTATAAAGTCACGCCTAGCTCACACTAGTTTGACAAAGAAAAATCCACTCTGTTCTCTGCCTAAAAGCATCTCTCTGCTCACACAGGAGGGGGAATAGGTGCTCACGCGCATTGGCATCAACAGAGCGGCACTTTGGCTTGCACTGTCAAAGGTGGATATCAGAAGTTCAGATACAAATTTCTCTTGAAAGCAGGCCCTCAGAAAGTTCCTCCTCCCATGCAGATTGGAGGTAAATCCGTTCAGAAAATACAGGTAGTCTGATACAAGTGTAGAGAGGGGAGGGAAGTCAGAGAATGCTCTGAGAGAGTGTGAGGGACAACTGAAAAAGTGACTTTTCCTATGGAACATTTTGCAGAGCTCCCTGTGCAATATGCAGCTATTTAAAGCTCCTTTGCAGGTGCCAGAAAAAGCTCAAAAACTCATGGTTAAATGGAAAAGTAGATTCCTACATGCTGATTCCAGGATAGGAAATATGCAGCTAACATACTCCTGCCCAATTATTGCACATAATCTCACTGAACTATTTATTTTACAACCTTCATCACTGTGCAAAAGCCCACACAAATAACTTGCATTTTTCTCTCTGTAACTGTGCAACTATTAGATATATTGTAGTGTAAGGAAATCAAGAGGATCTTCCTAGGGCCCAGGTTAACCTCTCCACGCTGTGCTGTGTCTGTTGCACTCACCTGGGCTAGATCACAAGGAGCTGATGCCTTGGAGGTGCCCAGGGCTGCCCTGCAGCCGGTGCAGCCCATTGCCTTCTCCTTGCCGGCATGCAGGTTGCACGGGAGGCGTTGAGAAGAGTTTGTGCTAGCGGAGGGGGATTTATTTTAACTTGTAAATTGAGAAAAATCCTTCTAGAAAACACTGAGAAGACTCTAGACTGAAGCTATAATTTTAACTTGAAGAGCACTTTTTAAATCATAACACTAAAATAAAATTAAATCCATTAAAAATCCCACGCAGAATACAGCTGAAGGCTGCTGAATATCTCCCTCTGCTCCTGGGGCTTGTCTGACAAATCCCACAGTTAGCAGCAACCCCCTGAGACAGGGATTTTGCTGATGACCCCCTGAAAGTCACTGAGAACCACTGCCAAGCTGTGGCAGTGGGACCTGCCTGCTGCGCATCTCTCAGTCTGTGTGTTTTACTGACGGGCTTAGTAGAAAAGCAATTTGAAGCAGCCAAGGAAAAGGGACAGGGGCCAACCTGATTCTCTACAGAATCCCTACTTGGCTCCGTTTTTCACTGTTTGTCTGGTCTTGACTTTGGAAGAGCTAAAAATGTAGAGAATGGATATAAAGATGATCACACTCCCGTAGGATAAATCCGAACCCAGACAAAGTGAGAGGAGGGAGGAGGTCTGGGTCTCGGTGGCGGCGGCATCCGTCCTCAGCTGCACGTAGGGCCCGTTGCGTCCTGCCACATCCCTGCTGCGGAGAGGACCGGGCCGCGGGGCTCACCTGAGCTGCCTGTCCCTGCACACGGCCACCATCACGAGCAGGTTCCCCAGGATGGCCATGAGAATAACGGCGGAGATAAAGGTGAGCAGCACGATCTTCTCCGCTATGCCGAAGCCCTCACTCGAACTGGGGAGCACAAAAACAAAAGGCAAGGGAGGCTGGAGGGAACCACCGGCAGCAGCGCCCACCACCCCGTCCCAGCGAGCAAGAGCACCACCAAAACCACCAGAAACATTTAACACCGAAGGCTCCACGGATACGGAAAAAGCCGCATCCACCACCAGAAAGGCTACGCAGGGAGAATATCTGCAGCAGCCATGAGAGCCCATGTTGCTCCACGGGGAATAAACTGATGAGGACAGAGGACCTCGTTTCAGAGAGCTGAAGAGAACAAAACGGGTGTGCGTTTTTTTCTCAAAGTCTCTTTCACTTGAGAACCTCAGAATGAAAATGTTTCCATTCAGTTTTCACTCCAATAAATAACGATATTTATATATAGAAATACTTTTTTTTTTCTGCATATTTTTTTCTGCTGTTCACTCTTCCTTTCACTCTGTGTCACAGAATAAGACGCAGGGAAGCATTCTTTTTTCTACTTAATAACCTTTTCAGTATTAGACAAAAGAAAATAAGAAAAAAAATAAAAGGAAATACCCAGACTTCCCCTACCATGACACTTAAAATTTTCCTTAATTAATAAGGTCAAAAAAGGTATAAATAACATGAAAATACAATATTTGACATATTTTACGTTTGTGTTTCCACAAATATTATGTTAAATATTACCAAAAAGATCTCCACTTTGGAGACCGCAGAACAGGAAGGCAATAAATAACATACAATAAACAGCATTCAATTTCACTATTGCAATTTTTGTGAGCAACTTTTTAGGCTATTTCAAATTATGTATCCACAACAAAAGACATCCTCAACTTTCACCTGCTTGTGTAACTTCAGGCATGACATTAGACCGGTGAGAATGGGGGTTTGTTGATATAATCAAGTGTGACTAGACAGAAACTGACAGTAAGAGCAGCACTTGACCCTGATTCAGCAGGGAAATTTCTTCACAGGGTATGCAGCAGGTATGCAGCAGCCAGGATTCATGTGAGATTGCTCAGGAAATTGAAACACTGAGCTGTTATTCTGTTCTAGTCTCATTTGTTTGTCCGACTTCCTCTAGGGTCATTTTTTATTTACTAAATGCATTCCAGATTGTTACACTTTAGCTCACTGAATTCTCCTGATTTTGGCAAAAACTAGAAAAGATTAGAAACTCTGCAGAAGTTCTGATAGATACCTATAGCATTTGTGTTCAACAGAACGGTCCAATGGAGATGACAAAAGCAGGACTTCTTCTTTTAACCTAATGGTTTTCTAATAGTGCTAATGAACCCCTCTTGCTTAATGGAGAAAGGTTTCTGGTCAGACTGTCAGACGTAGCCATGGGTTTGCATGCAGTAAGACACGTATCTTTGCGCAAGCCAATTACGGGTGCTGAGACAGGAGAAAGGCAAAGTCAAGAGTGGGTTTTATTCAGTGTCTGAAAGAGTTTGCACTTAATTAGAAAGAGTTGTCTACTGCATTTAGCATGACTTCAACAAGAGCAATTAAGGCCCGCATAAGCACCCACATGCCTTTTGAGCGGCTAGTAGCTCTAAGCAAATTCTTCTGTCCACTTCTTGGGCCACTGCTTGTCCTCCTTGTGCAGCTGCCTCTGGCACCGCTGGACAAGCCTAGGCACTTGTCAAGCCTATGTATTTGGAGCAAAACTGATCACCAGAGCCTTCATCGATAATATTCATCAGCGGAATAAGTCTCCATGGAAATTAGGGGGAAAGGAAAAGAAAAACTTCAAAGGCAGCTCTCAGCCACCAGCCAGTTGGCTGCGTACACGAGGGAACGAAAAGCCTCCAGGAACCTTGGGAGCATGGCGATCAAAGGCACCTTGATCATGGACCTGTAACTGCACCTCTCTAAATGGGCCAACATTTGGACCAGTGACAGACCAGTGCTGCTCCATGACAGTATCTGTGAAAAAAATATCACAGTACATCAAACAGCTCCACCTCTGCATCTCCCTCACAAGTGCTAGTTCATTTTTGTCAAACTTTACTCTCAGCTGCTCTTTACATGGCTGCAGTAGCACTCAAATGCCAGGCAGTTTGGTGATGCAACACTACGATGCAAAGCTGGGTGTTTCCTGTGTATTGCTGATTTTTTAGTCCACAGTGTTTTCATCGTGATTTACACAGGTTGTTCTGCAGGCCTGGGAGAAGGAGGAGAAGGAGGGAGCTTGGGGAGTGCCAGAGAAAAGGGTTCTGAGTGTGGAGAGGAATCATGACTTTCATTGCGCAGCTGGGACAGAAATAGCTGCAGAAACCTCTACTCTCCCTTATTAGTTGCAGGATCTTCTGCTCCCTTCTCTCACAGGCTGTGAAGACTCCTACAGCTAAGAAAAACTCTGAAATGAACACTTGCCAAGTTTGGACACCGAGTTCCACGCAGGAGAGGACACCAGCTAAGCAACGACACTCAGAGCGGACGGAGGTGTTTTGGGGTGGATGGACAGCTGTCTTTGCAAGGGAGGAGTTGGCAAACTCCTTTTGCAAGACTCTTCAGTGTTTTCCTCTCACCCTTGCTCAAGGGAAAGGATACAGACCATAATAGGACATAAAAATTTAGATTCCCTCCTTGTGCTTCCAGGTACCTTCTTGTGTGAACAGGCTTCCTGGGCAAGATGGACACCTCCAGCCCTTGAAGCCCCTCAGCTGCAGAGATCTTTGCACCTGAACAGGCACAGAAAGGATTTCCCATTTCAGGTCTTTGGTGCAGAGGTTTTGAATGTCAAAACAGTGTCTGGAATTGCCAACGGAGGCCAGCGCTTAGTCACTTTATGCAAGATACTGCCCTGCTTGAAAACTAGAGATGCTTCAGCAATAGAGAGGCACAGCCCTGCCAATCTCTAAAAGGCAGAGCCTGACAGGTTTTGATCTATTTTGTTTCAGGAAACATAAAAGTGTTTTAAGGCCACATTTCACAGATGAAGTAAACTGACAGGGTCACCCTGAAATTGGTGGCACCCGGGTCTACAGCATTTGCACTTGTCTGGCCACAACCCAGGGCTCTGAATGAAGATAGGCAGGTCAAAAACATGCCCCTGCATGCTCACTGTGGAGCATTTGCTCTGATAATAATTTTGGAAGCATTTAAGAGAGCTTGGGAGATTGCTCCAGAGCTTTTCTTTCATGTTCTGCTGGGGAATGCCCAACAGACCTGTGCATCACTAGTGGCACAGGAAGCACGTACATCTTGGCTATGTGATTGCCTTTTGAATAATCTATCATCAAGTAGGAATATTTGTTAATTATTCAGTCTCACTAATTCAAAGTTGTTAATAATGAAAGAAGTGGATATTGCTGTAAATTAAAATCAATGGTTTGCATAACATCTTTGATCAAATCTGAATGCTTTAGCTTCCAAGCATGCTTCTCTGTTTAATAAAGCAGAGATTGATGGTTTGCTATTATGAGGAAATGAGATTCAGACAGAATGATTGTTGGTTAGTAGGAATATAGAAACCACTTAAGGAAAAAGGTAAAAAGCTGATGAGGAATTAATGTTTAAAACCCACATGTGGAGGCATTTAAAAGGCTTGCCTGCATAGTCATTACTATTATCAAAAAAAAGTGTAATTATTTTTTCAAGCTCAATTTCTACTTTCCTGTAAACACCTCAACTTTTCTAAATGACCTCAAGTGCTTTTGCATATTTTATACAGCAATTAAACCACACAGATCACTCATGTCAGTAAGACCAGGCACATTGCTCTTTGGGTTTTCCATGCACATGTCACATCGTGACGTCCCCGCTGTTGGGGTGGGATAAAATAAACTTGCTAATAAGGTGTTTGGCACCGAGAGCTGCCCGGGTGCTGGGCTGGCAACCTGGACTCGGGCTGGGTGTGCAGCCCTCGCGGCCTGGCGGGAAGCGTGGACTGCTTGGGGTGGGAGAAGACGAGAGGTGCTACCTGTGGGGCTCATGCAGGAGCAAGAGAGAGAGGGCGAGGGCACAGAAATACAGACTTCTCTCCAGGGCATGGGGGGAGAGGCTGAAGAAAGGACTCCTGGATGGACAGAGAGCAGCTACAAGATGGAATAACTCTGCTCACAGAGGTGTCTGCATTGTGCCTGCAAGGCAGCACGGTCCTTAGTATGTACTTCATAACGGGGTGCATGGGAATTATCACTGAAAGGGACTAAAAGCTCAGGGATGAGTTCCACGAGGCTGCCCTTTCTTCCTGACCTAACTGAGGCCTCCACATACAGGAAACAGGGGCAGGGGGCAGCCACTCCACCCACAACCAAGCCATGACTCTTCAGTCTGCTGCTGCAGGTGACACCGTATTTCATGTAGGTCTTTAATAAGATAAGATGTATACAAATAAGATGTAATTTTCCTTTCCTCCTCCCCACTCCCCTGATTATTTCTAGGTATAAAATCAAAGGTTGCTTGCTAAACACTTAAAAATCAAGCTATGGACTTTTATGAATAAATGTAACAATGTATGCCCCTGTACAAAAACATAACTACAGGAAAGAAATTATTTTATCTATGGTTTTCCAGTCATTACCATATTTTCCTCTATTACTACCTAAATTTTTTAATCAGAAATCAGCATTAATCCAGCAGCACATCATTTCTTTTAATGCGTTCAAACATTACACTGCTGCTTTCGCTTCACTTCAGACTGTGTAGATGGCAGGACCACATCCAGCAGATGCAAATCAATTATGTACTTCTCTTTCAGAAAATCAAGATTAATTAAACTATTGACAAGCCACTAACACTATTCCATGTACTAAAATAACTCAGGTGATGGTTATTTTAACCAAGTGCATTATTTTTACTAAATAATTTGCAAGGGGGGGGAAACTTTTTTTTTTTTCTCCTTTTCTGCTAGTTTGGACCTTAGAGGAGTTCTGCAAACAAGCTTGCTTCTGCTGGTGCTGTGGGACTTAAAAAACACCATATAGCGCAAACAACAGTAGCTCTATTTGGACCATTGCTTCTATATGCAAAGGACTGATGCTAGGACACAGGCAGCTCAGCACTACTAGGAAACATTCCCACAAGCTATGAAAAGAGGATTTTAGGCCAGCTCTTCATGGTCAAAGTTACTGAGAGCATCGCTGATACTGCACCCCCATTCCACATACTTCCTACAGACTAAGTGCTGTAGCACTCAACAGAATTAAGTGTTTAAATAGCTGATAATACTGATTAAAATGAATTGTCAAGAACAAGCAAAGACAGGCCATTTAAATGT